TAAAGGTCCCTTCCGACCCACGGTGTTCTATGATTCCAAGCGGACAGCTGTGGCTCCTCAGCCAAAAATACCACTTAAGCAAGCTCTCTCCTCAGAGACCCACCAGGCCCCTCAGGTGGGAGCACAGCACTGAGGAGCACAGCCCCCTCAGTCACCCGAAACAACACCCCTCAACCCCTTCTGTGCTGGGGACAGGGGCGGTGGGGGAGGCCACTCACCTCCTGCTGCTTGGCCCACAGGAGCCCCCCGGCCCGGCCCCTCACGGCCTGGCGGGGGGGAACGGCCCGGGCAGCTCCGCTCCGCCTTGAGCCGCCGGTGGAGGCGCGCCCCCTGGCGGCCTGCCCTGCCCGTAACGGCCGGTAACGGCTACTAGCGCCTGGTAACGGCTACCAACGGCCGGTAACGGCTACTAATGGCCGGTAACGGCTGGTAACGGCCGCCGCGCGGCACGAGTCGGAGGTCTGGTGAAAAGCCAAGTGTGTAGCCTTAAAGATCTTTTAAGGTTAACACTCAAAATCACCATTAATCCTCTTCTGGGAGGTGAAGGTGCTCTGTGTTTCTTTGGGCCTCTTTATTCCTCCTCTTTCCCTCACCCCGCCCTCCCCCTCTGCCACCCCCAATGAAGAAACCTCCAAACTTAGATGACGAAGGAAAGGTGCCCGTTCCTTGAAGACAACTAGAGGTGAGGAAGACGTGACAGCTGAAATACCGAGAGGTCACCCAGCTCGGTGGGAAGTCGCTTTCTGGCTGGGGAGATGTTTATGCTGGCAAGGTAGAAGGCTGAGGTACCCTCACTGCTCCGGCAGTAACTTCTGCAGTACCTTCTTACCCCTCATGCAGGTAAGATGCTTCTCTGTCCAGACCAGATTGGTCCAGAGCTCTTGGCTGCAGGTACATGTTTGTGATTCAGGGCCATTTCTGAATTAGAGACATGAGCCTGAAAAAAATTTCCTAAAGTGGCACAGGACCACTTATTGCAGGAGGTGTAGTATTTTCAGTTAGTCCTCACTGGGAGTTAGAAATCCTATCTAGTTATATCTCAAGTCTGTTTCCATCAGCCCCTCTAGAGCAGGTGTTGGTGATTTTTCATGTCCCAGTTATCCCATCTCTTTGAGCAACAGATTAGTCAGCACACTTGTCTCTGAATAGGTACTCCAGGGTAGCGAGAGTTTGAGATCCAACTGGATGCATTTTACACTCAAGAGCCTGCTAAATGATTAATTTATTTAGTTCTAAAAGTTCCCTGCTTCCTGGCAAAGCTGGAACATGTATTTCTACAGGCCTCAGTCCTGCTTACCTTGGAACTGCAAGTTTAGGCAAGGATGTTAACAAACAGTAAGATGGAGATCAGGTAAAACTGTAGCATGAAAAGCTGTAAGATTCACCTCTTACAGATACACTGTTGTGTCCTACCTAAGGACCACTGCATCTATTTGTCATCACTAAATCCATGTACAATCACAGAAAAGGCACTTGAGTCCCACGCAAATGGACCTCCAACTGGAGGATGGAGGAAGAAGTATGGGTTAAAACAAGTCAGCGAAATTAGAACTGCCCGCAGGCTGCTGGCACTGTGGAATTGTGCCCTTTTGGGGACAGGGCATAGCCCAGCCTGGCTTGCTGCTGCTGGCTGTAGGGTCCCCTTAGGGAACAGCCCTGCTGCTGACAGCAGCCCCCTGTCATCATCACCATCATCATCCCTGACAAAGGGAACTGGAAGCCCTCTCTCATCTTCAGATGAGTAAGATTCTGCAAGAGTCTTTGTTACTAAAACAAAGACTACCTTAGCTATATAAGCTCTTTCTGCTTTTCTCTTCCAAAGTTTTGGCAATCTTAGACTTTGAAGGATCTGCATGCACAGTTAAAATTTGAGGAATACCTACCTAAAATGCAGATCCTACAAATCTTTATGCAGTTGCTTGGCTACTAAGTGTGTGCAGAAAGGATGTGTGGGCCTGTACCCGGGATGTTTTTCTTTAGAACTCAGAGCCCCAGAACCTTGAGCTGAAACTATCAGCACAGTCAAGTGCTCAAGATTTCTGAGAAAGTAAAACTAATCAAATTAGCAAACCACAGTCCGCAGCATCCCAGTGCACTTGATTTGCAGGGGCTGCACTGTGCTCCCCCAGCAGCCAGAACCAACTGATGGACTACTCAGAACCTGCATCTTTTCTGGACTGAGCTGCCAAGACCAAGAGTAGAGTATTTAGTCCCATGCACAGATAGGCCTTCACCTGACAACGAGAGTGACAGAACTTGTGTGGGTAGCAGGGCCTAAGGTATTTTTCTAAGCAGTACCAGGGGAGCAAAATCTGGTTTGTTTGTTTAGTTGGATGGGGTTTTGTTGTTGTTGTTGTTTTGTTTTGTTTTTTTTTAATAGACATATATATTTATACATGGTAATTTTCGTCTTCACTTCTGAGAAGAGAGATGTGAGGCTGCCTTCTGTTCAGGTCAGTATGGTGCCTGAGTGGAAAATTTCATTCCCCAGTTTCAGTAAGATGCAAGTTAGTCTGGTTCTTGTGAATAGTGGCAAAAGGAAAGTTACTGCAGCAGGGCCCTGTAATCAAGAGGTCTCCATGGACAACCTGTCATCCTGATGAGAGACACTTCTTAATTAAGCAAAGATGCCACATTGTAGCTGAAAGAATTCCCAAGCATCCCAGCTTCCCTCATCATATCAATGAGTCTGGAGTTACAGAGCTCCAAACAACAAGAGGCTTTAGAGGATTTCAAACAAATCAGAAGTCTAAAAGTTCAACATGTGCAGCATGCAGAGAACACATTTCAAACTGTATTTGAAGAGCATGAACATGGTTTTGCACTGCTGCAAAGATCTTTGAAAGGAAGAGTGTGGGTAGCATCCCAAGTATTGCTGGGGAGACCTGAGATCCACGCACTTCTGTGAAAAGCTCAACTTTACTTGCAGGCAAATCAGTTAAGAAGCAGCCCTTGCAGCTCAACTTAACTGAATTCCTGTTTGAGCATCTCAATTACACTGATTTAATGATTAAACTTGTTCTGATTAATGGGAAAACCAGAAAGAATTCATGGTCAAGATATTGGACAAATTGTTTAAGCTAATGAGGGAGGACACTGGTGTTTATGAAGCAGCTGGTAATGAGAGCCTGGAGGAGAAAGGAAAACAGCTGCCTGCAGATAAGCTCTAAATTCAAGCACAGGATCAAAACGAAGGGGAACATGCTGGTGTGCTTCAACACATCGAGTGGCAACGCAGGCAACTGAGAAATGCTGCATGAATATTGATCATCTTATTTAGCTGATTAGTACCCTTAGGTTATATCTACAGAAATGTGTAATATAGCCGCCCCCCCGCAGCGAAGCTGTGTGCTCAGTCCCTGATCATCTGCTCTGGTGTACTTCTATACTATATTCTGGCACAAAATTGTTTGCAGTAGTCCACATCCAATGACTCTAATTGCTCCTGGAGGACCAATTAGAACAAGGTTGAATAAGGCTGTCCTCTAGGGCACCCTGCAAGAGCTACATGTCTAGGACACTAGGGCACAGGCCCACCAAAAACAACTTGTAGCCTGAACCATGTCTAGCTAGATGGCAACCTGGCATTTTTGGAAGGAGTTCACCTGAGCTTCTGTGCCCCTGGTGCCTTTTACTGTGTAGGTGTAACCATTCTGTTCATTGCATTGCTTTGCTCCTTCCACAAACAAGCACAATAGGCTGATAGTCCAACTTCAAGGCAAGAGACATGTTTTCAGCCAGTTTATGGAGGAGAACAGCCATTCAGAATAAAATACGTGTTTTGTTAACAGTATATGTGGCATAGGCACCAGAGAAATTAATTGTAGTTTCCATCAGACTGTGGCAATGGGGGTATGTGTCTTCCTGATGGGGCTGGGAGACTGCAGAGGCAATAAAGGCAACGTGTCAGGCTTTTCCAGCTCTAGTCCTCCCTACATTAAAAAAAGAAGAAAAAAAAAAGGAGAGTAATAAACATCTTAAATGATGTGTTTCTTGGGAACTAACAGCAATACCAGACACGTTATTTATTTCCTTTTTGGCCTGTTCCCCTCTGACACCAAGCCTCTCAGTGGTGTGTACCCTACTGCTTGTGAGGCCATGGTCTAGACTGGGCTAATGGAGTTTAAAATGCACTCTCCAAAGCCTGCCATTCAAAAAACACGCATCATCTTATGGATCTGACTTAGGGCACAGCCATGTGAGCAGTTAGTCAGCACAGCTGTATTAACTCAGGCTCTAGGGGGGAAGGTGGGAGTAGAGCGAGACCAAATGACTTAAACCAGGTCTGCCGCCAACAGAGCATGAAGCTGTGCCCTCTGTGATAGCAGCTGGTGGCTAAGGGTGGTATAGATGTATCCGCATTACTCAGCCACTAATTCCAGTCAGATGGCCACTGTTCACAGCTTGCTTGGTTCCTCAGGATCCTCTGCTCTCCAAGCTGGGCATTGCCCTTAGTGATATCCCCCATTTGGGAGCTCATCTCCATGTGAAAGCTCATTATTAGCATTAGGTCTATATGCAGTGCTGAAAATAAAAATTCTACAGCACAACAGATTTGATCACTTCATTTTCTTGCCTAAAGCACGATGTGATTTCTTCTCCTGTTTGGCTCCGTGGGTGGAACAGGCATTTCAGTATACACTGCCACATTGATTACAGGGAGTTCTTCCGTGCTAGAGATATTAACATCTTTGTTATTACTGCCAGTTCTCTCCTCCCCCGTACCAAGCGGTCGCCTGAGCAAGAATTCCTTTTAAGGACAGACTCCCAGTAGTAGTATTCTCCTCCTCAAAGTGAAGAAGATGTCTTCAGAGGTCAGTTCCTTCTGCTTTCTCAGAATCCCGCCTTCTCCATATTCTTAGAAGGTCATTATTAAAGATGTCAAAACCAAAATATTGCAAAAATATCGCAGAAAATCTAGAAATCGGGTTATAAATTACCTCTTCATAATCATTAACAACCCAAAATCATAGCATTTAAGTTAAAATTTTTATGCAAGGAAAAATGTTTCACATTTAATATAAAATCAGTTTGACATAGCTTATTTTTCAAACATCATCCTCTTTCTGTTCATCAACGGACAATTAGAAGCTCACAATTAAAAAAGTCATCCTAAATACTTTTTAGAGTCTTATAAAAACATTCATAAAGTGCCACACAGAAAAGAACCGACACAAGAATCTGAGAACCTATTATGATGTTAATTTACTTAATTGCTGCTGTCAAACAGCAGTGTAATTTGTCGAATTGCCAATTTAACAACCATACAACCCAGCAAAAATATCATTCCATAGACGTGGCCCCAACAGAGCATCAGCTGGGCCCACAACAAGTACGCAGAGGCACCCAGCACAGAGTTGTGGGGTTTTAAAATAAATAGATGCTAATTAACACCACCTAAATCCAAGAATACCGGCAAGCGGGAGACGTGGATTCTAAGGGGAGCGATCATCCCAGGCGATTGCCTTACTGTGAGGGCAAAACTCAGGCAGCTTGTAAAGAAAACAGGTACCAATTTTAGCTGGTTTTTACTGGGATAAAAATCATTCCCCACTAGAAATAACAGAAAAAGGCACTGATCCTTTGAACATTTCTATGTTCTCCTCTCTGGCCTGGAACGTACCATACCGCAAGCACCTTTCTTTTCTCCATCCCCAAAAGAGGGGCTCAGTGAACTGCACCACAGTTCGTTCTGCAGCGGCCTCCCTCTTTGCTCAAGTGTCTGGGCAGTGCTCACAAACAGACTGACCCAGAAAAAAAGGGCACAGGCTCTGAGGGCTCCCTCCCCCAAAATTCATGCCCTGTGTGAGGTGTCCAGGGAGCAGCTGTGTGTCTTCCCAACACCAGGTAGCTGCCTACGGTCCACATGACCTTCTCCTCTCCACCATCTACTCTGTATGGTGCTTCTGGTGGCGCACCAGCTGGGGCTGGAACCGAAAGCTTTCCCCACACTGGGTGCAGCGGTAAGGCTGCTCCCCGGTGTGGATGCGGGTATGCTTGATGAGGTTGGAGTTGCCACTGAAGCCCCGGCCGCACTGGCTGCATTTGTAAGGCTTCTCACCAGTGTGGGTACGAGCGTGGTTAATGAGGTCGGAGCTCTGCCCAAAACACTTGCCACACTGCCCACAGGCGTAAGGCCGGATGCCATCATGGGCTCGCTGGTGCTGAAGGAGGTGGGAGTGTTGGCTGAAGCTTTTCCCACAGGCCGGGCACTTGTAGGGCCGCTCGCCTGTGTGCATACGCTGGTGTTTGATGCAGGTGGAGCTGTCGCTGAAGATCTTCCCACACTCGCTGCACACGTAGGGTTTGAGCCCGGTGTGGATGCGCTGGTGCTTGAGGAGGTTGGAGCTCTGGCTGAAGCTCTTCCCGCACTCAGCACAGGTGTAGGGTTTCTGGCCCGTGTGGACCCGCCGGTGCTGGATGAGATGGGAGCTCTGGCTGAAGCCCTTGCCACACTCCCCACACAGGAACGGGCGCTCCCCAGTGTGCATTCGCTGGTGCTGGATGAGGTGGATGCTCCGACTGAAGCCCTTGCCACACTCAGAGCAGATCGTGGGCCGTTCTACACGAGCGGCTCGCCGTGAGGCTGCTGCCACCCTTCTCTCCTGTCTTCTCACCAGGCTGATATCAGAGCAAGGCAGCTTAGCCTCCTCTTCCTCCTCACAGTCACCTTGCTGTGCCTCTGGGCAACTGCTCTGACTTCCATGGCTGTCTCCTAACAGTTCCTCTCCTCCCCCGGACCCTGCTGCCAACATGTCCTGCTGATCTGCATTTGCAAGGTGATCTGGAAGGGGATGAAGCTCACCATCTGTAAAAAAAGTACAACTCTAACTGTAATTCTTGCTGGGAAGAGGCACAGCGGAGAATGGGAAAGCTGTTCTCCAAGGGACCAAGTCTGCATCGTGTAGGAGAAGCAGTAAAGGGAAGACTGGGAACAAATGGAAACCTAGCTGCGAGAGAGGCTGTATGTTGTCATCATGTGACCCAGAGCAGATGTGCCACAAACAGCAGAAGCCAAGGGCAATGCTATAGGTGTCTCCTTGCCCCCAAGAAATCTTTACATTTTGTCTTCTTATTATTCTCGTATGTACTCTTAACAGCAGGCTGACAAAGGCAGGCTGTCTGCCTGCCCTGAGGGAGAAAGAGTGGGCCTCAATATAAGCTGCATGGAATAAAGTGGCTTAAGTAACACTGAGGCAGCTCAAAAAGCATTTTGTTTGCTGTGTTTATAAACTTATCTAACTTATTACTCACCCATGTATGTCTCCTCCAAGGCCTCCTGATCTTGTTCTTCTCCTTGGTCCATCTGGGCAGTTAGGTCAGGTTCAGCAATCAGGAATCCTTCTTACAAAAGAAAACAAAAGTAATCTTAGTTGAATATTCGGCAAAAGCTTGTCATGTGTCTTAAAATCTACTGCCAGTGCTGAATACGGAGAACAAGCAGAGCACTACTGAGGTATCTGGTTTCAGATACTTTCTCTTCAAGGTTGCCCCTCTTCTGATAAGCAATATACATTAGGACATACACCAGATATGCTGGACTCAGAACTGGTTGACAGCAATCATACAGGTGTAAGCAAACAAGAAAACCCAGTCATATTTACATTTCTTTAATAATGACAACCACAAGACTAATTACTCTCCTAATATTATTTTAAATGGACAATGACTGTTTGGTGACCAGAACCTGATTTTCTTACCTGATACCTCATCTCTTCTTTCTCTTCCAAGACTCTCAGCTTGAGGTAGCAAAACCCAACAAAACAGGCAAGTTGGTGTCTTGTCTGCTCTAGCTGGATTCTGTGCTACCTCCCTGCCTGGTGTCCCTACTGAGCTCCAACAACCGCCATGAATGCTGCTGTTGGGCAGGGTGCTCCTACAAACACCACCAGCACCGAAGACAAGATGTTTTTTCTCCAGTATTTACTGTTTTAAGGCCAAAACCAGACAAACAGTAAGCAACAGCAGTTAGCATCAAGAGGGCGGGCATTAGCAGTTGCTGCAGAAAAAAGGCAGAACAGAGAAAATACAATGGTAAGAAAATGCCTCTTTATTTTAAAAAGTAAGAGTCAAAGATGGCAGGGAAAGGATACCATGAGGATGAATCTAGGACCTGAAACTAACGTGCATCCCAGCTAAAGCTGAGATCACTTATGGGAATATGACTCTGTGATTCTATGATGGGAACAGCTTTGGACCTTGTTTTCCACTGATTATAAAACCACTAGTCTTGAAGTCTTTGCTCCTGGGTGGCAAAGCTGGACAGAAAGAAAGGCAGCAAGTAAAAGAGGAAAGACTGCAATCTTGAACTGCAGAGCCATGAAGAAAAAAATTAGGATACAAGGGAAAAAGAAGCCTTAGCCAAAAAAAAAAATCCTTAAAAGTTAATAATTAGAGTTCCTACTTTAAGTATTTGCTGAATGCTGAAGTGGACCACCCCTGCAGATGGATCGTTTCCAGCAGTCCCAGGCTGATATATAAAGGGAGGTTGTGAGGTGGCTTTCTGCAGCCCTAAAGCTCTCAGGACTTTGCCACCACCGAGAAATGTCTGCTGCAACAGTTTGGCAGTAGCAGCTGCCCAAGGTATTTACATGTGTCGTGGTTTCAGCCGAAATCACCGCAACCGAACCAACAGATGGCCCTTCCCCCCCCCAAAAGAGGAGAGGAAGAGATAAGGAGATTGAAAAATTTAGAATTAACTAAACTACTTTAATCAAAAATAATATTAAAATAAAAGAGAAGAAAATAATGAAATAGATACAACATAAATACAAAACCGTATCAAGCTCCCAGGATGACGATCCCGTCACCAGCAGGCACTGGGGAAGTCCCAGAGTGGACTCGGTGATGGACAGGAGCAGGATTCCAGCTCTGGAATCAGGAGCACATGGGGATCAAAGGCAGATGAACAGACAGGGTCCTCTTCGGACGTCGGCCATTACAGGAAGAGAGTTGACCCTTTGATCCCTCATCTTTTATACTGAGCATGGGGCAGATGGGATGGAATACTCCTGTTGGTCAGGTTTGGGTCACCTGTCTTGTCCGTTCCTCCCCACAGATGTGACCCCTCTACGTTTTTCCGTTTCCGACCCTCTAAGGGGCGAATAACGAAAATTGGCTGACCTTGGTTGTTATAGCAATAAGTATAAGCAAGGGCCTCTCTACATACCATTCCCTGGCATGTAGCACAAACATTGGTCTTATCACTCTGAGAAGGAACAGTTTTCTCCACAATATGCCGTTAATTTCAGAGAGTTAGAAAAGGCCTAACTAAAATGCAAAGTTACAGAACACAAAATTGATCCGGTTTTACCTCAAACCGGGACAACATGCTGCAGTATGTGCCAGATGGCCCACCCCCGCTATGGAGCAGGGGGAGTCAAAACCCTGTCCACAGACAGACCTTTCCCCCAGGCAGCTAACCACAAACAGCAGGGATGCTCTCTGGAAGCTGTCAACAAGCAGGTACTTCGGAGGAACAAATTCCTCAGCGTTTCAGAGGTGATACCAGCATCCAACAAATGTCCAATAACAAGCACCCATGGAAACATCTAAGAAAGCAGCCAAGGTAGAAGGAAGAGCTCCCTTCTGACCCTGCCAAAATGTCATAGCTCAGGTTGCCATTGACACACTACTCCTATGCTCAGGTTCGCTATGGCAGCTCAGCAGAAAGCAGATAACCTTTACACAATTAACAGGCTAGTCTGGAGTAAGGAAGAGTTTCTTCCTTTCCCATGATCACAGTCATCTCTTTGAAAGTAGGGGACAAACCTCATCCACAGAGGGGACAGTGCTTCAGGGACTTTGTCTGTTACTGGAAGAAGCGTATCGTGGGGCATATTGTGTTATTGCTTGAATGGGGAAACCGAAATGGGAAGAACGCCTGTGTATGTGGGTGTGTGGGGTTACTGTGTGCAACATCCACAGCTTTACTAAAACAAGATATGAAGGGTGTCTAATTTGGATCCCCAGCAGGGGCTTTGCAAACACACCATACTGTTCCTGGGGCCTTGGCTTTGGTATTGTGACAGCATATATATGATTTTTTAGCTGGGTCCTACAACTTAGGTTCTTTACCTTAGCTATTTGCAAATAGCTACTTATTTTCTCTTCCAGCCACTCAGCTCTGCGTTTCTCCTGTGGCTGTGCCAAGCTGTGGAGGTTATGGGACTCATCCTGGTGCAGAGCGCCATACTTCCAGCTTCTCCTGCTCCACAGTCTGCTCCTGAAGTGCTGTCAGTGGCTCCGCACGGCCATGCCAGGCACAACAGCACAAACCTGCAATTCAGAAAAAGAGGTTCAAATCTTCCTCTCCCCAGCTATCGACTTGGATAGATAAGGCTTGCAGTAAAATCAAAAGGTGAAGACACTTTTATCACAGAAAACAGTTAATTATGCACCTGCACACATTTCTTTCGGGTATGGTGAGAGCCTCCTTTCTCTGTACTCTCAGAGTTGCTCAAAAACTGCAGCACTTGTCAGTGGCTGCCTTCCTGCCCACCAGATTGGGATGCTGGGGGGCACTGGGAGATGGACACAGGAGGCAGAAGGGGAGGGCTGCTGCAGAGGACACTGTCAGAGCACCCAAGGGCAGGGGGATGTGCAGAAGGGGGCAAGTACTAAGTAGATTTTGGGAACAAAGATTCTCCACAGAGCAGGGGTGCAAAGCTGCCTGTCTGCAACAGCCCTCTGAGGCACTGGGTGGAAACCGGGGAATGAGAATAATTTACTCTGCGGCAGGTGACAGGGATGGACCGGGGAGGGGGGGAACCGCGTTACAGGTACGGGATGTAAGCAGCCGAGATGGCAACCACAGCAGAGCGGGGTCTATAAAAGGGGCAAGTTGGCCTCCCCTTCTCCTCCGGCAGCTCCTTCCTCCGCAGCTGCCCACAGACAAAGGCTCGGAGAGGGGTCTGAAGCCCGGCTCTCAGTGCCGCTGGCCTGCCGGGACAGCCGGCACCGACCCCCGCGGGGTCCCCCGGCCCTGCCCCTCGCTGCCGCCCTGTCCCCCAGCCCAGCGGCTGCGGGAGGCCCGTCCCGTCCCGTCCCGTCCCTACCTGCAGGGCGCCCGCTCCCGCCCGGCGCCCGCCCCGCTGTGCGCCGGCAGCAGCTTCCTGCTCCGCGGGCAAAGGGCGCTTCCTGGGCGGAGCGGGAGGCGCCGGGATGGGGAGCCGGGGCCGGGAGCCGAAGCCTGGGGGGGGTGCCCCGCAGCGGCCCCGCAGCCCTTGCGGGGGTAAGCTGGGCTGGGCGCCCCGCGGCAGCGCCCTGGGGAGGGGGGGGAGGGAAGGAAGGGAAGGCAAGGCTGCGCGGCGGGGTCTGGCGGCAGGAGGGAGGGATTGTTGCGGTTGTAGCTGCTCCGCAGCCTTAACTCCAGGAGCGCTCTGCCCAGGGGCAGCTCCTGGCGCTCCCGGGGGTTTGAAACGGCACTGTGGCTTTACGGCCCGTTTGCAGAGAGCTGGATTTGCCTCCCTTCGCGCAGTCAGGTGCTTGGCGTCCAGCCGAGCCTGAGGGCAGAAGGGAAGCGGCCGAAGTGGGGAGCGTAGCGCTTGCCTGGGGTAGACAACAGGACACGCAGGAGCCTGGGCAGCTCCTCGTGAGGACAGCAGGCCTTGTAGGGTGGGGAGTCACTTTGTTCTGCAGTTAGTGTCTTGTTTGGAGTTTCCCCAGGGGAAAGAAATGCACATATCATTATACAACATGGTGCTTGCTCTCCTTAATTTCTCCATTAAACTTGTACCTGGAGGGAAGAAGGTAGATGAGTACACATGCTTTTGTGAAATGAAACCTGAGAGCTTAGGTGAATAAACGAGTTCTTATGAGACTTACGAGAGGAAGTTCTGTCTACACAGTAGGTGCCATAGGAAAGGGTTAACTTGGGCCCCTGCAGCTCTGAACTCATGCCTGGAGACCCCCTTCAGGCACTGGGACACAGCTGCCTGGTCTGAGAGCTGGTGCATTGGGGTGTACCAGCCAGCGCTCTCCTCAGGCAATTCCCATTGTGGCTCTGCACTTAGACCTGCTCACCAGTATAAACCAGGCCTTTCCACTTCCATACCCCCGCTGCGGCACAGGCCACCAGCATTATCCCAGCTGGCCACATTCTTGTGTGCCCTGATAGCATTCGTTCCTTCAGCCTCATGCGGTCAGAGGTCTGATTCCAGGGGACTGCACCTCAGGCCTGACGGGGATGAGCCATCTGTGAGACCACAGCTTTTCCTGCGGCAGTGACCTGGATGTTTGCTCTTTTCTCACCATGGTGACATTCGGGTTTCCCTGCCACCTTTGCCAGGGGACCAGGAGTGGGTTTGAACACGGAGGAGGCCACCTTGTGGCCACAGGCACAGGCAGGAGACAGCTGATGCACTTTGCTCCACGAAGTCATAAAAAACAAGCAGCTTTTCACCTTCCCCCTGTATCCCAACTGGTAAATACACTGCCTTTTTGGGTGGTGGTTTTTTCAAGCCACTGTTTGCTCCAAGGTGATAATATAGAAAATTACCCAACTTTTCTGGGAGATAAAACACCCAAGTAGGTAGTAGGAGCTTAGCAGTGGTACAAAATAGGCTGGCTATGAGATAAGGACTCAGATGAGGGCACAGACAGGAGTGGTTTTCCAGGAATCTGGAAATCTTTGCTACTAGCGAAGTGAAAAATACTTTCAAAGCCTGCTGATTCTCTTTCCACTTCAAGCAGGCCACAAGTGATTTGAGTTAGTCAGAAACCTTAGCCACCTTGTGCCTTAAGCTGTACAAAATTGCAGTAAGATAAATGAAAAGAGATCCGTTTTGCCATGTTGAGGCTTTGTTTGTTAAGGTTTAAGCATCAATTTGCATTAAAGACTTTCTTTTGGAGAAGTGATGACTGATACCGGCTCATTAGACTCACAGTCTGCAACTTCACTGGCTGTGGACAGATGGAGAAATGGTCGTCAACAAAACAAGATGGGAATACTGAAATAGAATAAAAGGGAAAACATAGTGCTATCAATTTACAAAACAGTACAAGCGACAGGCCCGTTGCTGTATCCTTGTCTTGCTTGTAGCATATAGCACAGTTGCTTAGAAGCATGTGGGGTGGAAGATCAATATGTTCACAATCAAAGTACAAATGTATGCAAAAGAATGAAAGAGGAAGTTAATGCTGGTTGCTGGATCTCCATCCTTGGAGGTTTTTGGGAATGTGACTGGACAAAGCCATGATCTGGTGCTGCTGATAGTTCTGCTTTGAGCAGGAGGAGGTGGGACTCCAGAGGTCTCTTCCAATCAACATTTCTGTGATTCTCTGACCAAGATGTGGGCAATTATGGGTTAATGTACATGTAGCATCCTGCAGACAATTCAGTAATTAAAAATTGGTAATTTGGGAGAAATCTTCAGAAAAGGGTTTGGCTGTCTTAAATATGCATAAAGATTAAAAAGTGCACAAATTGGGTAATGTGATCATTTTTCAAGGAAAAGAGAAAGAAGCAAAGGTTGACATAAATGGTAAGCCAGCATTTTCTAGATCACTATTAAAATACGACTGCCTGAATCTAGACATGCTATAGAGAAAGTTCTTGCATTTCAAAATACCTCTATTAGTTCAGAAACACCACCACGTCAAGCATTGGCTCCATTTTTCACTACTCCAGAGCAATGTCCATGTTTGATGAATTTGAACTTCAGCTGGCTAGTGATTTAGAAGCCCCCTTTCTGTTTTTTTGTTTTGGCAAAGCTGATGTAGCCAATGTAGTTTTAAAAGCTTCTATGCTTTTAGTGTTAAAAGTATTTTGTTTTTAAAAAGCCCACAATAATTAAACAGCTGAAATGACTGAACCCCCATGTCTATTGAAGAGATTGTTGGAGAAAAGCAATGAAAAAGCCCTGGTGAGAATGACAGTAGAAAAGAAATACTACGTATGGGAATAACTATTTTCCATTTTGCAGTAAGCTCTAGGTAACCTTCAGCTTTACCCTTCTCTTGGTATTGTAGTGCCAAAAGGAGTGGCATACCTCCCCAACAGCCTTTACAGCAATTCATTTACCCTCAACAAAACTGCCAACTGAATAGAAGGAAGGAAGATTATTAAGGACTTGTGACTGCCCACTGAAGATTGTTTCTTAAACTTGGCGTCTTGACCAACTCTTTTCACCTACACTTAAAGAGCTTTTGGTGTGGAGTGACAATCGTCCATATGTAGAGCACCGACGCTGCACAGCTGCTAAAAGAGAAATAAACGAGAACAGTTTGCTGTCTTACTCTTCTTCAAACCCATTTGACAGGAAACACTGTTCCAAGTATTTCAGCTCCATCAGTGCACGCAGTTTTCTGTAGCCTACATAAGATTGCTTGTTAACACGGCAAAAAGTTAAGTGCAGTGCTTGCCAAGAAGATAATGGCATCCCTTGGTTTGGATTTGAAGTATTAAAGCTCCCTCACCTCCCTGATAGTTTCTGATACGGGAATTGCAGAATCACAGAGTGGTGGAGATTGGAAGGCACCCCTGGAGATAATCTAGTCCAACCCCCTGCTTAAGCAGGGCCAGCCAGAGCAGGCTGCCCAGGACCAGGTCCAGTCAGGTTCTGAGTATCTCCACATCTCCATTGTATTTCAAGGAAAAAAACAACAGGAAGCAAAATATCCTTAGACCGATTAAAAAAACTGGAAAGCAAGCAGATGCTATATCACTGCTAAAATACAGCTGCCCCAATCTAGGGACGTGGTCATGGAAAAAGCAAGTGAACAAGCGAAGTGCCAAACAGCTTAGCAGCATCACTGTGTCACGTTCCATTTTTCAGTAGATCGGGGCAATTTCATTGTGTTTCAGGGACATACATTCTTCAGACTAAAATACATGCCAGTACTCCAGATTCCAGCTTAAGGTATTCATATTGTGTCTTGGTAGTAACTGCTGCTTTATGCTTCTTGCATTGATTCAAATCTGCTAGCAGCCTTAAAAATGGATGCAGAAAAAAGAGCTTTCTGCCAGGAGACTCAAGGACAGCTATGACTGACTGGGACCAAAATGGCCATCAAAGCTGTTACATACACATAATCAGGGCAGCCCAGGAATAGCAACCCTTTGTTGCCACAAACTTCTTGCTACGTTCATGCTTACCCAGACTGGATATATTAGATTTTCCAAATAGAAATAATAATAAAAAAAATGGGTGCACATCCATGGATCTGCTATTTTTAATATGTTATTTTGCTTACAAATGACTATACACACTCCCTTTTTGAAGAAATCAACCTCAATGTGTTTGGCCAATTACATATGAGATGCAAAATCAAAGTCATGTTTTTGTACCTGATTCACTACTTACTTTGGCAAGTAACATGTAGCGGAAGAGATTTACTCTTATTTGACAGAGTAAACTCCCCTGTAAAACGCAGTAACCATTGGGGGTTTGCCTAGGTACACTCTTGTAGGCGAGCAATCTGTAGCTGACATGCATGAAGGTTAGTGTAAGGAACCTGTGACGGACCTTCCCCTCACCCAAAACAGAGAGTATCTGTCATTGTGGCTCCCACTGTGTGATTTTTAAGACTCCTCAAGTGAAATGGAGAGAGATAAGGAAAAAAAACCCTTGTAGAGATAAAGGAGTGTAACAGCTGGGGGAGAAAGATCAACCAGTGAGTAAGCAGAGGCATTCCCAGTATGGAGAAACTGGGAAAAAATGTATGAGAGGACTAGAAGAACAAGCAAACACACCCGCATGAATCTCTGCATGATTCATTGGAGACAACCCTCCAGCTCCTGAGGCACTCGAGGCAGCTGGCCAATGGCCTGGTGCAAGCTTGTTATCAGAGGTTATGTTTTATGTACTTACGTACATACCCAATAAAACTTGTCAGTTAAAGGAATGACTGCCTTTATCTCAGTTGCTGACTGCTTAATTACCTGCTGCCTAGATTTATTGCTTTGGCTACGCTCTTACAAAGCCGAGTACGAGCCAAGAACTGGAGAAACCTCAAAGACTGAAAGCAACCAGGAAAGTAGACTGAAGAGTCTTTCAACAGATGCTGAATTTTATCACAACTTTAGAAGACAGATACAATTTAAACAGTTTGCTAGTTAGTTTAAATCTTTTTACTTCCCTATGCAGCCTGTTTCCTCATACCACGGGAAAGGGAGATTGCCTTCCATGAGATGGTGGCAGGTGATGCTTCTCTGTGCTAGCAGAGTGCTGCCCAAGGGCTTGCTTAACACTTTGAGCCATAGAATCCTCTAGGTTGGAAGGGATCTTTAAGATCATTAAGTCCAAACATCAACCTAACACTGCCAAGTCCACCACTAAACCACGTTCCTAAGCACCACATCTTTTGATCTTTTAAATACCTCCAGGGATGGTGACTCAACCACTTCCCTGGGCAGCCTGTTCTAATGTTTGATAACCCTTTCGGTGAAGAATCTTTTCCTAATATCTATCCTAAACCTCCCCTGGTGCAACTTGAGTCCATTTCCTCTTGTCCTATTGCCTGTGACTTGGGAGAAGAGACCTACCCCGGCCTTGCTACAACCTCCTTTCAGGTAGCTGTAGAGAGCAGTAAGATCTCCTCTCAGCCTCCATTTCTCCAGTCCCCATTTCATGGCTGTGGCCAGTTCTTTGCCCTTGCGTTCAGTCTTCCCTGAATGTGTCTGTAACTGAAGGAGTAATTGATGACCCCTCTGCCCCCACCCCCCCCATATCTAGGAATAACCAGGAATTTTCAAGGAACCATTATAAAGGGCTTGGGGAAGAGTGGCTGGAGAGCTGCCCAGCAGAAAATGACCTGGGGGTGTTGGTGGTCAGCCAGCTTAACGTGAGCCAGCAGTGTGCCCAGATGGCCAAGAAGGCCAACAGCATTCTGGCTTGTATCAGGAACAATGTGACCAACAGGAGTAGGGAAGTGATGGTGGCTCTGTACTTGGCACTGGTGAGGTCTCACCTCGAGCGGTGTGTTCAGTTTTGGGCCCCTCACTACAGGAAGGACATTGAGGTGCTGGAACGTGTCCAGAGGAGAGCCACCAAGCTGGGGAGGGGTCTAGAGAACAAGTCATACGAGGAGAGGCTGAGGGAACTGGGCATGTTTAGTTTGGAGAAGAGGAGGCTGAGGGGAGCCCTCATTGCCCTCTACAACTCCCTGAAAGGAGGTTGTAGAGAGGCAGGTGTTGGCCTCTTCTCCCAAGGGAATAATGACAGGACCAGAGGAAATGGTCTGAAGTTGCGGCAGGGGGGGGTTAGATTAGATATTAGGAAGAATTACTTTATTGAGAGAGAATGGTCAGGCACTGGAACAGCCTGCCCAGGGAGGTGGTGGAGTCGCCATCCCTGGAGGTATTAAGGACCATGTACAGGGAGCACTTCAGGGCATGCTGTAGTGCCCAGGATTGTTGGTTTGTGTCTGTCTGTGGGTGGGTGTGGTGGGGTTTTTTTTTGGTTTGGGTTTTTTTTTTGTGGTTGGACTTGATGATCTCAAAGGTCCCTTCCAACCATGAAGATTCTGTGATTCTCAAAAGCGGTTAGCCACGAGAAAGAACATTTCTCACAGACAGGAGCACTAGATGTCCGTATCTCCCTCAGGACGAGTCCGGGAGCCCCTGCTTCTGAGGCAGCCCCGCCGGCACCCGCGGAGCCAGCCCCCACACCTGGCTCCCCGTCGGGAGGCAAGGCCCCAGGTGAGGTTTTTTCGTTAGCGGGCCAAGGCCCGGCAGCGGGGCCCGGACACGCCGCCTGGCGGCGACTGCCGCCTGCCCAACCGCCGACCGCCCGCCAGGCGTGCGCCACCCGCTAACCGCCGCAGCTCGCCGCCCGCCGCTGGCCGCTGCGCACCATGGGAAGTGGAGTCCTGCCGCCGCCCCCGAGCCCCCGCCGCCGCCCGGCGCTGGACTGCGATACCCATAAGCCCCCGGCGGCCAAGCCCGGGGCGCGAACAGGTGCCGGGCAGGAGGCGCGCGGTGGAGGGCGCGCATGCGCAGTAGGGACCCGGCGGGCGGGGAGCCGGTTATTTCATTACATTTTAATTATATATTAGCGAGCCCAGCGCCTCTTCGCTCCGCGCCTCCCCGGCGGGTGCTGCGTCTCAGCTTCTCCTCCCTCGTCCTGGCGGGGGGGGGGGCCTTCTCTGTCAGGGGCGCTTTGCTGCGCGCGGCCGGAGGGAGGGAGGGAGGTAGGTAGGTGTCAAAGAATCAGAACGGTTTGGGTTGGAAGGGACCTCAAAGATCATCTAGTTCCAACCCCCCTGCCAAGGGCAGGGACACCTCCCACTAGAGCAGGTTGCTCAAGGACCCCCGTGTCCCCACGGGGTCCCCTCGCCTCAGGCGCGGTGCGGAGGGAGCCGGCCTGGAGAAGGGCCGAAGAGATGTGGAAGGAAAGGGGGTGATGCAGGGGGGCAGCTGTTCGGAGAGAGTGGTGTGGAATGGGGCTGGGAAGAGGCTGTGGGCTGAAGGAGTGTGGCTGTGGTGGTGGGTTACTGCGGGTGTGAGGCTTCGAGGACCCACAAGGGAGAGGGCAAAGTATTCCTTGTGTCTGTGAGGCACTGATGGGAAAGGCAAAATGGGGCTTTCCTTTTGGCCTACGCTGCCTGTCGCCATTAAGAAATGAGGTTTGTTTCCGTGGTTGCTGAAGAAGGACTGCCATCCCGAGTCATGTTGAAGATTCACCTACAGGCCTGCCTGTAAGAGAGGCCAGTGTGGGGTGATGCCTCCTTCCTCTGTGAGACCCTTCCCAAGTCAAGCTTATCTGTGGCCTGACAGCCTTTGACTAAAGGTTGTATCCGCAACTTTGTGGCCACATGGTTGCAGCTGTGAGATTCTGATCCACTTACCTCAGGAGTGTAACTTCTGATATAATTTACATCACTCTTTTACAGATTTTTTTTTTTTTAGTCTTTTCCTTGCAATGTCTGAACACAGTATTCTAGTAAATATCTTACTCTCATTCTCTTGAGTTTTCTGTATCTGCAAACAACCCTATCTGCCGAACTACCAACCTATGAATAAGGTGCTGATTATCTATATTTGAAAGCTTGTTTTTCACCAGAGAGAACTTGCAACTTGTTGTCTGTAGAGCTTTAAAGAACTCTGCTTTATTTTTTTTCCAATTAGAAAAATGTCCCAGTGTGTGTTAAGAAAGCTGTTTTTTGCTCTCGCATATCTGGGGAATAAGGTGTTTGTGTACTGAAGAGGGCAGTCTTTCCCCATTTCTTCCCTCAGGCATTCTGGTGTTGAATTGCTTCATTTTGGGTAACGGTTGATCCAGGAATTGAGCTATATTAATGTGCTTATTTGTTTAAATATGTATTTTGTCGTTCTCATCAGGGTAATTGTGTTATGCAAAGTAAAAGATGGCAGCCTCGGGTCCCATTGTGGCTTCATTTCAATTGGAACTGATCGGCTGACAAGTTCTAAGTGAAACTGTGGAACTACCTGAAATTACATGCACATGCCTTATCTGCCCAAAGGTAATGGTACATGCAAATTGTTTGGGCTTCAGTGGTCTGTGGGTGCTGAGAAAAAATGATTAACAAAGTAAGCTTTTTAAACAGTTAAGGTAATTGTGAGAATACTGGAGGCTAGTACTCTGTGATGGTTTTGCATGGCAAGCCTATCAAAGGGAGGCTGGAGTCACTCAGCTGGTTTTCTTTTGAGCCTTCTCTGATTACGACGATTCCTTGAGGGTCAAACAAGCAAGACAAAGCTTAAAACAAAAAGCTCAAATACAGTCGCACATAAATATGTGCGTAGACACATGTTCACCTGCATGCACACACACGTCTTCGTCACAGCATGAGAATAATGAAGGACACACTGACTTTAATGAGACCAGTGTGACTAATAGTGCAAGTCAACATCTTTCCACTTTGAAACCAGGATAAAGCAATAGCTAAAATGCCAACTACCACCATCCAGCAAGTCTTGCTGATATTCTGGGCTATGTAAAGACTTAGCTGCTTACCAACTACCCAGTAAACATGCTGCCATTTTTCCACATAACAAGGATCATCACCAGTTTAGCATGGCAGGCAGGAAGGAAGAGGCCCTGCGCCATCACTGGTACTTCTGCAGTAGGTTGAATGGATGCCTCTGGGGACCTGCACTGCTTGTGCAAGTAGACCATTTAACTGGTCTAGCTGTAGACTACTGCAAGGATTGATACTGGGAAGGGCACATCAGAGGCAGCACGCTGTCCGTCTTTGTTACGGCCAAAGATGCTCGTTGTTGGTTTAGCTGTTCTCCTTCAGAGATCTTTTGAAGCTGAATGATGTTTGCTCCAGATGGCACGGACAGATTTCCAGCTATTTATCTGGCTTCATTAAATCACCTTGTTCATTTATATCTCTGAGTTGGCGCAGCACTGTGCATGGTTTACTGTATTTTCTGGCTTTTTGTGCTTGTTTCTTGCTATTAATTTGAATGCTTTTATGTTGAAAAAAGCTAGTTTGCATTTTTTCCTCCCTTATCTTTTGAATGTGTAATCATAGGTTGGTCTTTTCTGGAGTGCTGTGGTTTTCGCATTCTCCATATTTGCTGAAACAAGGCAGTAAAGGTGGCCCACAAAGCTGTATTCTGTGGTCAAACGCATATCCAATGAAGGTAGCAACAAAGGTTATGGAGGCTGTTTGGTAAGTCCTGCACATGAGAAGTGCTTGACTTGTTGATTGAATAGCTGCATATATTTTTAGGCAGGCTGAGGTCTTTCAGATATCTCTCCTTTTGAGATATCTCTCATTTCTGTATGAGTGTGAACCACAGCAAGCAGTTATTTTAGATAGTGTGAGAGCTGACATTTGTTTCATTTTAAGGCTCTTGGATGCATGCTTTTATATGATCCAGTACTTGCTGAGTTTGGGTCCAAGGCAGACCCCCCTTTCTGTTTGAGAAGCAGAAAGAGAGACAAGCTGTTCTCCTCCCCAGAAGTTCTGTCCATTTTGTTGCCCATCCTGGGTGTCAGCTCTGCCCTACGAGCAGTTTTCCTTGTTCCTTGTTGAAAAACAGGGCAGCAGCAAAGACAGGATCAGTCAGTAATTTGCTGCTTAAGTTGCAGCTGTGTTGGGCTGAAGGTACTGCAAAGGGAAACTTCACCCTAATTTCTGGGCTGTCCGTCAGGCTGGGAAATCAGATGCTGTGAAGTCCAAAAATAAATTTACTTTCTGAGGTGACCACTCAGCTGTCAGATGTGATGGAACCATGGACTTCTCTAGAGACTCACAGGAGTTTGTCTTCTTCAAGTATGCTCCTTTGGCACATCAAGAAGTGCATTGCGCTGTCTCCTGTGGCTTCATTTGGTTGGTCATGTACACACTCAGGCAAAACTGGAAGCTGAGCAGGACAGGTGATGCTGCTTTGGGTTGCTGTATGGTGTTCCCCTAGTTTACATAAATTTTGTTTTCTTAGGGAAAGCTCCAATACTGCAGGTAACTGTGACACAGTTAATTGTTGTAGACATCCTTATACTTTTGATGATAAAGCCATGCTACCTTATCAGACACAAATAAGAGCTTTTGCAGTGTTGGAGTGTTTTTGTAGAGGGCTGGAGGAGCAGTTGTACAGACAGTTGTACAGTGGTTGGGTCACCATCCCTGGATGTGTTTAAGAGCTGTTTAGATGTGGTGTTGGGGGATATGGTGTAGGGGAGAACTTTGTAGAGTAGGGTAAATGGTTGGACTCAATGATCCCAAGGGTCTCTTCCAACCTAGATGATTCTATGATTCTATGACATGCAACTCCATCCCCGGCCATAAATCTTCCTCTGCTGACCTGCAGCTACACCTTTTATCTGGATTTCTTTTTGCTGTGAAAAATTGTCTGATAGTGCTAACCTCCACTGTCAACGCATGGCGTGGAAAAATGTGAAGCTTACCCACAAGTTCATAGTTGATACTGCTCTGACAGTGGTTGAAACCACAGGATTTATTTTTTTTTTTAACATAATAGCTATTCTATCTGAGAATAGGTCAGGTTCAGTAAGGAAATGATTAGCATGCAAGAATACTTTAAATATTTCTCCTCATCTTCTTCAAGCCATATTCAGTAGGCATCTCAGCTAGCGGGATTTAAAGGTTTCCTGGTGAACACGCCCATAAAGAAGTATATACATAATAGCAAAGAAAAGGTCACTTCTGAGATGTTCCCAATTTTTACTTTCCAGGCTGCGTTGTGTGCACTTGTTATTCTTGAAGGTAAGAAAACGTATTTAATTCTTAATAATTTCCTAGTAGCAGCATGCTTTTATGCTAAACTGGGATGGGAAATCTGGTTTGGTGTGGATGCGTTCTTAGAGGTTTATGCCGTGGAGTTTATTATCTGCAGGACCAGGACAACATTTGAGTGTTGGGTTGAAACAAAATTGTGTTCTCAAAGTGCTTGCTGCACTTTGAGAGTAAGTAGCTTCTGCTTGAAATTAATTCCAATGGGAAATAAAAGACCTCAGCTAATGGAATGACGTCAGTATATTTGGAATACAAAAAAGCCAAGCAATTAAAAATAGAATATTAATTAAGCATACAGCTTCCTCTTAAAGATTTAATGTTTGAAGGAATGCTGTAATAAACTGTAGCAAGATAATACTAATAAAACCAATACAATTTGACAGAGTTGGCTTCTTAGATGTTATTAATTGAGTATGAGTTATTAGTCGTGTCTTTGTATTTACAAAGAATAAAAATGACTGATTCATTAGCTGTCAGGAATCCTTTTCAACATGTATCAGGTTATGCCATTTGTGGCTTTACTTCATCAAAAATCTCTTAGAAGATTTAAAAGAAATTTCTCACTTCAGCTTTATGAAACTGCTAAGGAGGAAGACTAGTACAAAACCGTCTGTATGTAATCTATGGCCTTTGGACAAAACAGGGTTTAGTGATTAGTTTGAGATCATACATTTCAGTAGCTGGCTTTGGAAGCTGATCCCAATTTTCATTCTTAAATCCCAGCTCCCAGGTGATGTTCTCAAACCCACGTCAGTTTCAGCCTGATGGCTGTAATTGCGTTGCACTGTTTGGTAATGAGTTCTGTCTGTGTGTGCTGTGTTTCCAGCTCACAGTGATGTGAGGAGGATAGATGCGAGAGTGTGCGAATATGTTATTTTTGACCTTGACTATCCCCGATTGGAGCGGTCTTCTCGGATCAGCTGGCACAAGGAGAATACATCCTCCCAGCACTGTACGTCCAGCAACCCCGAGCATGACCGGCATGTTCGTGTCTTTCCTAATGGGACGCTGGGGCTCCGCGTGGTTGGGAAGGAGGATGCAGGATGGTACGCAGCCATGGTGTGCAACAGCTCCCAGCATTGTCTCTGCCGAAGGCAATTTCAGCTACACGTGCATGGTAGGTGTCAATTCTCACTGTAAAGTCCTTGTCTTTCTGTGTTGGGCTGCCTGGATCAGACACTTGTTTATGTTAACGATGCACAGATTATGTATTCATAGTTGGCAGCTTCTGCCTTTGTTTTTGAGTTCATTTGATAATCTGGATGAGAACACTTGCATGTTATATTTTTGATTAAACATTTGTTACACTTGCAATTAGCATCTAGACTTGTGCCATGAGTCTAAAAACAAGATGTTACAGTTAGACTTTTAAACCCAACCATTTAAGCTTCTAAATGTGCTGAGCTCTTATGAGCTTCCTTGTTTAGTTATGGGGTGCTAATTTTAGACTCTGTTTCAAATTTTGGTTTTCTGTCTCTTTATCCAGTGCTTGAATTTACCAGCTAGAAAAATTAGATGTTTATTTTGAAATATGTGTTAACACAACTATTGAAGTCAAGCAGGGTTCTGTTGACAGTGCTGTTTGAGGCCACTTGGTTTTTTGTGCCTTTTAGTTAATGCCCTTCCTCTGTTTCCTGGAGGTAGGAATCTGAGAATTTTTTTCCTTCTTGTCCATTGGATGGGTAAAAAGACAAACAGGAGGTCTTTTAGGCTGTTTGAGATGCGTCCTATCTTATTTTGAAGTAGCTAAGCAACTGAACTATATTATGGCAGGTGGTTTCAATGTAAGCAGAATCTTCACTTGTCAGGGCAAAACAATCTTTGCTCAGAAGCAGTTGGCTTTCAGAAGCAAGCAGTTACCATTTGCATGGGACTTGCTTTCATTCAGACCTTGAGACTCCAATAATTTTATAATTCAGAGACACCAGATTTAACTTATGGCATAGGGTTTGTTTCCACTTCTGACATAGCAGCTATTGTGAATGTCAGGATCCAGTTCTGTAGGAAAGCTGTTAAAAGTTACTATTTGGGTTTTGGACAGTGTTGAAGATGGTATTTTAGATGTATCCCTAGGCTTTAATACATGTAACGGGTGCTGATTCATAATACGTTCTTGATATGTCTTGCGACACTCACAGTAGGATTCTCCATTCCTAAATCAAATCCAAGTAAAATGCTTTCTCAGCATTACAGGAAAACGGACCTTCTCATGGTTCTCAAGGAACTGTTCAGGGACTTAATTTATTACCTGCCTTCCTCTTAAAAGAAAGAGGTTTCTGGCTGCATGCAGGTTCCTGGTAGATAATTTGAAAGCCTGTGTGGAAATGCTTCCAAGGTAGTAAAAGATTTCATTTTTGAAATTTGCTTTTGCAAATATATATGATGTCCTGTGTGTCCCTTAGGTAAATATGTGTGTGCTCCCTTTCAACAGGGCACCTTGTCAGAGGGCACGTAGGTGACTGTGTTACTTTTGACCTGAACTGCGTGCAGTCAGGCGGGTACGTCCATGTCATTTGGAGGAAGGACAACCAGCGAGTGGCCAAGATAAAACAGACAGAAAATGCCTCTGTGACCTACTGGAACAGAACCCGTATGTTCCCCAACGGCAGCTTGAGCCGTTGCCCCACGCAATGGGGGGATGAGGGAGAGTATGTGGCAGATGTATATGCTGAGGATGGCACGTATTTGCATCAGGAAACTTTTAACCTGGAACTGAACAGTAAGTCTGAGTGTGCAATGCATGTGTGATGATGTATTTTCAGTAGATGGCTTTGCACTGCTTGTGTGCCTTGTTTTGTCTTTGAGGTCTTTTCTCAAATCGTGTATTTTGTAGAGGAATTAAATATCTGGATAAACATTCCCATATTTCTTCCCTTCCACTCTCTGAGTGTAGCTGTGTCCTAGGACATAAGTCTAGAAGTGTAGTTTGCCTGGGGGTGGCAGAGGAAGGAGGTGCACTCATTTGTATGGCAAATCCTGAAAACAGCACTTAAATGGTGTGTGCTACTCTGGTAGGTTTTCTTGTTCAGGGCCTGTGTTCAGAAGGTTTCTGGCTTCTGAATTCCAATAAGATGGAGAGCCTAGAGTGGTCCACTTCCCCCTGGGCCAGACTATGCTGATGGCTCACTTGCAAGCACAGAGAAAAATAGAAGTATAGGAAAATCCCGTAAAACCCAGAATTGTCAGAGGGTGCTACTAGGGTTTGAACTCCTGGTTTGCCTAATGCTTGAATTCAACTGAAATTGCCCTTTGTAACAAGAACCCAGGCTTCAATCCACCCTTGTCATTCCCATGTCATAGTTTGTATAGGTGGGAGATTTTTGCAGGTTAATGTCTGGTAATATTTGCAGGTTAATGTCTGGAATGACTGTTTGGGGCATTTGTGTGCCTAAGGGTGGTTCTCATGTTGCTAAAGCAGTCTTTTAGAAGTTAATTTTGGGAAGTCCAGCTGCATTTCAAACCTTCTCCAAAGTGCAGGGGTCTGCAAGAAGACCTGGCTCATAGGTGTGATGTAAAACTACACTCTGAACAGAGGCGTAAGCAGGTCTATGTCAGTTTTTTGAAAGAGTGCTCTAGCTCCTAAATCTGTGTGTGTCCTTCCTCAGGTTCCCTTCGCCCTCCTTCATTTCCTGTCCTTATCTCTTGTTGAGAGGAGGGTGGTGGGTGCTTTGAGGGTGCACGTGGGGTACAATTTCAAGCTGGCATAGAGCAGTTTACTCACAGGTACAGGGTTGGTTCCTGTGCTACCAGTGACCCTGCACCCCTGCAGACTCAGAGGTCGGTGTGAGCTAAGTAGTGCCCACCTACCCTAGAGGTTTTGCAGCTCACCTTAAGCTCTGTGCTGCTGCTTCAGCATTCGTGGGGTAGTATTTTACCCCTGCCTGAGGTATGTATGTGAGCTGCAGGAAGAGCAGAGACCATAATGAAGTCAAAGTATGAAGGGGCTGCTCTCAGTTTACACAAGTCTTGTGCAGACAGCACTGATTAATGTTTTAAGGCTGGGCAGAGACCCCTTAACCTATAGCTTATCCAGCCCTGGACCCACCTTGTTGTAGTGAGGAAAATCTGTGCAGGCACATGGAATGGAAGAAACATTATTAAAATGGAAAAAAAAATAATCTGTCTTATTACAAGTTAAGATATTAAAGCAGTATTATAGTGAATCTCTCTGTATTGGTTTCAGGCTGATATTTCAGATAACTATAGCAAAGGAAGAACACTTCTAATTAACAAGAGATACAAGCAATATTCCTGCTTGTGGTCACTCTCTGTGGAATGTAAAATATCCCAATAATGAGCAGTTACATTTTTCTGTCCCCAGGAGTGGAAACATCCCAAGAAATCACGGAACTGACTGGTGGATCTGTATTTTTGAATGTAACGGAGACAAAGCTGAAACACTTCTTCCAGGTAGTCTGGAAAAAAGAAAACGCAGAAATTGCTCGGACAAATGGTTCTTGGTTTTGGTACCATGAGGAGTATGTTAATAGGTCTGAGATTGTGTCTCATTACAGTCTCAGACTAGACAGGATTCAGAAACATGACAGTGGCAATTATTCTATAGAACTGACTGACAGAGATGGGAGAACTGTCTATGAATGCATTGCTGATGTGAAAGTTGGTGAGTATCACTTAAAAATGCTGGCTCTGTTAAGCAAATTAGGTTGGTTGTTTTTTTTTTTCCTTGCATCCAGATTCAATACACAAACCCAGATGGATTACATATGGGCGTGCCCCAAATGAACTAGCAGTTAGCTAATTAACAGATGGATGAGACAAAGACTAGCTAGGGTAAGCCTTGTTGGGTAAAGCTGGGCATTCTTTTGCCAGTGTGACTGTTCAAGCCAAAGACTAGGCTGGCAGAAAGTGTCATTTTGTTTCTGGTTTGTTACTCTGATATATTTTGAAAATATTATGAACTGTGATAGAAAATGACTTTTTGAGCCTGTAGATGCCATATCCTTTGTTCAGATAATTGCTGATTTAGATGCATCAGAAGAACTTTCTGCTGAATTTGAGTTCATGACTATCCCCCAAGTTGCAGAAAAAACCCACTTTCACATCTGCAAGGGTTACTCTGGTGGGGGAATTTTTAATTAAATGCTGCCTATAATTCTAGTTTTCTCCAAAGTTTAACAATGTAAGAGGTATAACTAGTGTAGTTAAATTGATACTGCTGTTTCATCTGGGCTAAAATTAGACTTTTTGCCGAGCAAGGGACACATTTGAGAGAGAAAAACAATTGTTGTAAAAAAATAATTCACACTTCCTGCTTGCCTCTTCTGCCTCATTTAATGCCAACAGACTCTTGTGTTCGTGGGCCAGCACAGTTCTGGGCAGTGACATCCTAGCTTCCCAGTGAAATGGCAGGAGCACTGCATCAGCACTGCATGTGCTTCCCTGGAACACAAGGCTGATGTACTGCTTGGATTTTTCTGTGATACAGAAAGCCAACGGGAGTGATAGAGAGAGACTTACAGGTATACCTGGTATCACACAGTGATACCAAAGTGCCTCATGTGTGAGTATATCTCACTAGCTATGCTTAGCACACCTTACACGTTTCTCGGTGGTGTGAGGCAGAAAGAGAGGCTGCTGGCTAAGGGCTGTCCCAATGTCACATGTTACAGGCTCCCATATGTGTTTTGTGAAGAGAAGCCCTTTGGTTGTAGAATTGTTAGAGAAAATGAAGGTAACCTTTCATTTTGCAAGTCAGCTTTCTGGCAATTAATGTTCTTACAGGATGTTACAAAAATAATTAAGATCAATAAAGCTAACATAGTACAGCAGGATGAAGTAAAGTGTTTTTTACAACTGAATTTTCCTTGTAGAGGAAAAGGAGACATTTGGAAGAAATCTTCATGTACCATTCTATATGCTCATAGTGTCACTAGGAGTTGTAATTATTACTGCCTTGGTTGCACTGATATGGCATTTTCGGAAGCGCAAAGACAAATCGGGTAAGAAATCCTATCAACACTTTCAGAATACAGAAACTCAATTTAAATAGCGATTTGTGTGTAGCTCTAGCTCTCTGCATTTCAGGAAACATAGTTTCTACGATGAGTTAGGTTAAGACTAGCAGGCTGCAGCTTTACACTGCTGTCAGCGCTGGTAATGGCACATGGCTCTGCAGGGACTGACTGCCTGAGGCTTTTCCATGTTGATGGGAGGACTTTCAGCCCTGCCTGCTGCTGAGGTCCTGTGCTGAAAATGTCCAGGCTGGTCCCACGTGTCTGTGGCAAGGCCTTAGGAGGTCCCAGCAGCTGCCATTTTCCTGTTTGCCTGGTCTGCTGAGAGATGGTTTTGTTATTTGGAGGTGGGATGTTGGCTGGTAAAACAGGGCCTCATACCTTTGCCTGGTGGGGCTCATCTGGGTTCAGTCCCTTTTGGGAGCAGAACACTGGTGGGACACCTGTATTTACTCCTGAGTCAGTGACCCTGGCCTGAATGTGATGTGACCTCCCCAAGCCCAGACACCATGTCACCGTTGGAGCTGTGCGGATGAGCATTTGTTAACTGGGCTCAAGGATGGCAGTGCTCCCCATCAGGAGCTCCATATTGACACCAAGGCCTATGTGAGACCTTAGTCCAAATTGTAGATCTTCTGATTTGTTGGGTTTAAGTAGCTCACACCCAAATGGGGGGAAGATAGGAATGAGAATCATGGGTCCCTGCAGCAAATGCATGAGGTGAGAAGAGAGTGGGTCTGTGTGGCCCAGAGGGTGGAAGATGGTGGCCTTCTGTGTCAAGAAGCTGATAGTTATTGCAAAGTGCCTCCAGGCAGTTCAAATGCAAAGTTGTTCCAGCACATCACTAATGGAGGTAACAGGTAGTTTGTCCCAGATGGCAGGAAGGAGTAGGTAGTGATTTGAAAGGCTTAAAGTCTAAGCAGAGGATTGGGGTTAGGAAAGGTCAGATAAACCCTCCCCCCAATTCTCTTTTTTATTCTTGGTGGAAGGGAAGTGCATGAAGAGATTGAAAAATACACAATGATGAGTGGGTAAAATACTCTCCATGGTTCACACCAGAGAGAGGCACTGAAGTCAGAGCCATTATCTTTAGTTTTGTGCCCCTGAGCCTTGCCTTTCTCTACCTAGGGATGAGCTGTAGGGAATTGAGAGAGATTCTAAGTATGAATTCTTTCACCTCTTTCTGCAAATGTTTCAAGTGCATTTGTCTGCTTTTTACTTGCCTTGGCTTAAGTTTGGATCTCAGAATCAAGCATTCGACATGCAAGTTTGATACTTACAGATGAAGGAGACAATCCTGAGGGATGTGAAGAAAGGAATGAAAACAGTCTGTGTACACGTGAGTATCCATCACTGTGTGGCTTTCTATCAGTTAGAGAGAGGGAGCCAAGAGTGTGATTTGTCTGAGTGTGGTTCAGTGAGGCCTGATTGTCTTATTTAAACTAAATATTGTAATACAGGGCATCTTTTCTTAGCATAGAAATATCTCAATTTTGAAAGATCCAAATTACTGAAAGTACTCAGAGCTCCTGAGAGCATGAATACCAGGGTAATCTCATGTGCACTGGACTAGGACTGTCTAGATAATGAGTTTTCTGCAGTCTCAGATCCTTTCTACCCAAACCTAGTGGGTTGTGTCCTCTTCAGCTGTGTGTGCAGAGACTTAGCTACTCACTGCCTGGGGATGGCTGGTGCTTTTCCTTCTTCCAATTGCCCTGCATGTTTGTTAGGCATCATGCTTTCTGGGCAGAGGAGGTGGGTTCAGACTGTGCAGGGCAGATAGTATCTCTCCTGTATTAACTGCAGTGATCCTTCCTTCCATCTGTCTGTCCTTCTGTCCTCCCCCGTGCTCTTTTCCTTCTTCCCCTGTGTGATCCTTGCACAGTTCCTCCCACTTGGTAGGAAGAGTTTCCACCCTAGCTCAGAGCCAGGCTCTTGCACAGTGTTTGGTACATGTAGGTCATCAGCCTGCAGAGCCTGTCCCCTCAACACTCAGATGTGATCTGCAAGGGATCAAAGGGAGCAGACCTTGCTGTCACCCCTGAAGTGGGTGTGTGAGGAGTCCAGTGGCTTCTCTGGTGGACAGAAGTGATTCCTGCATGGGACTGCTGAGCACGGCAACACTAAAGGCATCCCGTGTGAGCTGGGTGGTTCAGGGAATAGATGTCTCTTCTTGGGCTGCTTTCCTGCTTTGTTTTGTAGTTATGGGAAGTGATGAAGGTAGTGGGTAAAGTGAAGTGAAACTCAGATGTTCTACTTGAGAGGCATGGCAGTGACTTAGGTTTCAATTTACACTTTTTCTGACTTTTCAGTGAATATACAAATCTAACAATTTTAGAAACTTTGCTTCAGCTGTGAAACATAGACATTTCTGTTTGCTTTCTGGTTTAAACAAGATATTTCCTCATGGAGGTTATTATTCAGCCCAGGTCTCCGTAATTACTTAGAGAGCATCCTGTAGCTAGTCCCTACCCTCGTGTGAGTCCCCAGACTGGCTACTTTCCTCCCAGCACTAGATTCATCAACTAGTGCCTGACAAAACCAAGTTGAACTACAATGGGAACACTTTGCAGAGGGAGTTGTAATGATGTTCAGGTGGAAATGCTGTAACTGTAGGCACTGGTGTCGTGGTTTGGCCTCAGACGGCAACAAAGGAGCACGTGCAGCCGCTTGCACAGAACAGAGCTCCCATGGCCACGCGGCTGGGAGGGGAAACTCGAAATAAAAAGGCGGGTTGAGAAAAGGCAATTTTAACAGAACAAAGAGCAAGAAATAACAACAATAACAGAGGGATATACAACCGTGATCACGTACCCCGCCGCTCGCTGACCGCATCCGGATGCCCCACACCGCTCTCTCCCCCGGGGGTCACCGCCTGCTCCCCCCCAACTTCCTGTCCCCCCCCTTCCCCGGCAGCTCCGGCTCCCCCTTGGGCATGGCTCACATGGGATGCAATACTTGTGTCCCTCCTAGGGCCTGGGGAGAATTAATCCCATCCCTGCCCAGACCCAGGACAACTGGTCATGAACTCTCTCTGCTGGTGTGCTTGCCAAAGCCATTTTGCCTGTCTGAACTTTGAAACTTGAGCTGGTGTATTTCTTTTTTATACCATGAAAACTTCCATTCCTGTCCCAGGAGTAGCTTCAGAAGAATGTCTAAAGGAAGGCAGTCAGTAGTCAGCCCATGAACTGATATCTGAACTCCCTCTTTATTGTTGTCCATACTATGAGTTTGTTTTCAATTAAATGTGGTTGTTTTTTTTTTTCTCCTTTCAGATGGAAGTCCTATGCAGGAACTAAATGGTACAAGCATCACTGAGCAAAGGAGTGAAGATTTGCTGAGAAACACCGAAGAAGCTAACCCAGCAACAGCTGACAAAATGGTATATTCCTCTGTCCAGAGAGTTAAGGTATTCAGAAGCAAAAGCAAGTGAACAAAGCAAAAACTGAACTAGAATGAAATATCAAACAAGTGCTTTAACAGAACTTTCTGTTGAATTGTGCAGTGGGTTGGAAGCAAGGTTCAGGTTGGGGCAGGGCAGTGTTTTTGGCCCATGCTGTGGTCAGGGACTGCACTGCCATTGGTACGAAAGTCCAGGCCCTTTTCTACCTGCATGCAGAGCTGCAGCCAGCCCTGCCCAAAATGCTTGAGTGGCTCTGCCCAGTGTTACTGGCAGATGCCAGTGTAGGCAGGAGTGAGCTGTTGGCCAGAAGCCCCGCTCCCAGCATCTGAGCGTGGAGGAGAAAGAGTGGGCGGTGAGGCCCTGTTGCCCCAAAGTATTTGGCTATCCAGGTAGGAGAGTTCCCTGTGGTACCTCTTCCTGCAAGGGGATGCTTGTGGGTGCCTCCGTGTCCCTTGCACTTACACCCACGTCTTTCCCTGGGGGCTGTGGGAAAGCCTGAGCTGGGGTGCTATGAGCAGAGCCAGCAGCCTGCAGGGGCTGCACCCTTCTGCCCCTGCAGACAGGGATGTGGGGTCTGTGGGCAGCCCAGCAGGCTGCATACAGCACCCGAGCCCTGCTCTAACCACAGGTGTCCGTTCCTGCTGTGTGCTAAAGAGAGGCAGGAAGGAGCAGCTGATATAAACGGAGGAGCTGCTGTGAGCACTTGCACCCATTGGTGCTGCTCTGCAGGCAGGGGTCACCCAGGGGTCTGTCATCTCCCCCATTTCCATACACCCATCGAAGGCCCGGCCATGGGTAACCCAGCCCTGCATGTGATGGTTGACAGAGTGATATCGCTCAGGGTGCCCCCGTGTCTGTGATCAGCTGGTCAGCAGCCTCTAGCTCACCAGCTGCTTTGATGAGGAGCCAACCTGGCCCCTCTCCCTCCATGCTTCCCTCTCTCCTGGAGGATGGGGAGTAGGATCTTTTTGCACATATTCTTTGACTGCTTTCCACATATTCTTTGGCCAACCTTTGCCAACTTCTGGCCGGGTGCTTTTCTTGTGTCTGTATCATAGTCTTGTCTAGACAGTGGCATTAAAGAGATTTCTACTCAACTGACTCTTTTTCTTCCAGATGGAGAAAGACCCAAGCTGTCAGGGCTCAAACTCTGTAAAGCTTCTGGCTTCAGCTAATGGCATGTATGTTGCCCCAAACACTGAGAACACCACCCATCCAGAATCTGAGCACTGCAATCCTTCAGGATTTGAGGACTGCCTTTCACCAGGTTTTGATCACTCCATTCCCCCCAGTGTTTGATGGCTGTGCTCCTGCAAATGCAGTGAAGGAGACACGTTCTCTCAGTATGCTCCTCAGAAAAAGACATATGCTCTCAGTTCTCTCTCAAGAGCACAAGAGGACTTCCAGAAGAGAAGTGGTACTGGAGATTCAGTACCCAGTTCTTCCCATTGATTTGCCAGGAAAGACATCCACAGTACTGGACGTGAGGTTTGGACTCTTCCTTCTCTCCCAGCTAGCTTTGAGCTAACCTTGCAATTCTGCTGTTCCTCATATAAATCTGATTGTTTGCTTTCAAAAATGGGCTGGAAGCCTGAAAAGAAATCTATCTGTGGATCAGTTTGTTTTCCAGAGCTGATGCCCTCTTCCCTCTGCTATTGGTCTTCTGGGAGACACCATGAGGAACCCCTTGGAAAGCAGTCATGGTAATTATCCTCAGAAGAATTCAGCCCCTGCTTCTCTTTGCTTCCACTAACAGATGTCACTGTGAAAAGAGAAGGTCCTCGGGGATTTCTGGAGGCCAGAACAGGGCTTTGACCTCAGTCCCCATCTCCTCTTGGGTAGTCCATACACCTGACTGAATGGACAGAGGAACAGGGCAAACACCTTAAACAGCTCAATGGACATGGGATGTTTGCTTAACCCTTCATCTAACCCATACAATGTTAATAAAACTGCAGTTTAACTTGGTAGATATAAGCATAATCTTACTTCTGTTTGCTTAGACGAATGTGCTGCTCAGGTGGAAGTCAGTTCAAACTGTTATTAGGAGACTGGAGCTACACTGAAGAACATGCAGCAGCTTTGATTTAGGAACTGTTATTTGAGAAGGAAAAAAGAGAAGGAAAGAAAACAGAACACTGCTAGCAGATGGGTATAGCTATTTATATAATTGCCATTAATGACCAGCCTTGGTAATTAATGTTGTATTTTCTGCAATGCCTGTGTTAAAATTTATCTTAAATAGTGTATAGTAATTTTAAGATGGCTTTATCTTAGTTATAAGGTGTTGCTTCTATGTTTCCTGAAATATCTTTTCTTACAGAATGTTGAATATTCGTTGGTTTTCTGTTTTATTTTTATTTATTTTTTTAATTACTAAAAAGGTGTTCCTGGATGTCACTGATTGGGTTTGCATGGCAAGGTTTTGGTAGTGGGGGGCTATGGGGTGGCTTCTGTGAGAAGCTGCTAGAAGCTTCCCCTATATTGGATGGAGCCAATGCCAACTGTCTCCAAGACAGCCCTTCTGCTGGGCCCAGGCTGAGCCCATCACCAATGGTGGTGACACCTCTGTGGTAACATATTTAAGAAGAGGGAAAAGTTACTGCACAATACAGCAACTGCAGCCAAAGACAGGAGTGAGGATATGTGAGATAAACAACTCTGCAGACACCAAGGTCAGTGAAGGAGGGGCAGGAGGTGCTCCAGGTGCCAGGACAGATTCACCTGCAGCCCATGGTGAAAACTATGGTGGGCAGGCTGTCCTCCTGCAGCCCATGGAGTTTAACGGTGGAGCAGATACCCACCTGCAGCTCGTGAAGAACCCCATGCTGGAACAGGTGGACGTGCCTGATTAAGGCTGTGACCCTGTAGGAAGCCTGGGCTGGAGCAGGCTCCTGGCAGGACCTGTGGTCCCTTAGAGAGGTGATCCTGAGCTGGAGCAGGTTCTCTGGTAGGACTTGTGATCCCACAAGGGACCCATGTTGGAGAAGTCTGTTCCTGAAGGACTGCATCCTGTGGAAGGGACCCATGCTGGAGCAGTTTGTGAAGAACTGCAGCCTGTGAGAAGGACCCAAGTTGGAGAAGTTCATGGAGGACTGTCTCTCCTGGGAGGGACCCCATGCTGGAGCAGGGGAAGTGTGAAGAGTCCTCCTCCTGAGATAGAAGGACAAGCAAAGATATGTGATGAACTGACTGCAACTGTCATTCCCCATGCCCTGGTGCCACTTCACAAGGAGGAGGTAGAGAAAATTGGGAATGAAGTCTGGGAAGAAGAGAGGGGTGGGGCAAAGATTTAGTTTTATTATCTTAAATTGTCTTATTATCTTAAAATGTTTTAAGATTTAGTTTTTATTTTTTCATTACCCTACACTTATTTGATTGGTAATAACTTAGATTAATTTTCCCTAAGTTGAGTCTGTTTTGCCTGTGATGGTAATTGGTGAGTGATCTCACCTTGTGTCCAGCCAGGGTCAGCCTGCCACAGTCATTATGAACTGGGATTGTTTATGTAATCTGTTTTGCTGTTTAAGTATGTCTTAACACATGTCCTTTCTGTAAATAAAGCTACAGCTTTGTATTCTAACCCTGCTGTAGGCAAAGACACATTGTTGGTGTCTCTTTAGAGCAAACAGATTATTTTCCTGCTTCCTGACTGCCCTTCTTCATGGGAAAACCCCCAAACCTTTCTCATCTTGTTCTCATAGGCTTGTTCTTGATTTGCTGTGGAATCTACAGTCTGTCCACATCCTTCATAATTTTTGATTCTCAAAACTGACCATGATATTTTTGTTGAATTTTAAAGTAATTGGGATAATAACTCCCTGTCTTCAGAGCTCTTGCTCCTCCTACTGTTTTCAGAAAGGAAATGTATATTTTTTTGAAAGGGATCACATGATGGCTCATATTCAGGCTGATCACAGAAAACAATCTGTCTGAAGGCAAAATGCAGGTCTACCTCCCAGTCTATGATGTGAGCTTATGAGTGTTCATGGTATAAGAGCTCTTTAAATTCCTGTTAGGTATTTATAAGAAAAGAATGTAAAAGCTGATTCTGCTGTTCATGAGAATTTGGTGAGTGTAGATTTATACTGAAATTTCTCAAACATCATGATTTGATTACAATGAATGAAACTTCTGGAGATACCCAATCTTATAGTGTGATGAAAAATGAAGAGCTGATGAGTACAGAGTGTCTGAAAACTGAGTGAGAAATCTTTGATGGATCTGTGAAAGGAGTTCATGGCAAAAGAATTTCCAAAAAGGGTTGTGAGCTTAGAGTGTCTTCCTGCTTACAAGGGGAAAACTAAGTAAATATTGCAAATTCCTTGACTACTTGAGATTAGTTTCAATTTGCAAAGTGTTTAACTGTGGGAATTTTGGAGGAGTATCAGTTGTGCAATATAAATAAGTAAATTTTAATTAGAATAAATTATTTAGGATTATAATAAGGTGTGATTTGTGCTGTTTGCATAGCTTTACTTAGCACAAGTAGCTAGATTTACTGAACCTTTAGACTGAGAGTTTTTTTTCTCAGTAATTATCCTAGCAGCTGGTACAATGCTGTGTTTAATCTTTTAGTATGGGAAAGATGTTGCTATCACACTGATGTTTTGGCAGTGTTTTTCCCAAGTCTGAGGCTTCAATTCCCCATGTTCTGCCAACGAGTGCAGGGTGCAAAAGAAGTGTAAACCAGAAGGTAAGGAGGCTACAACCCTTGGCTGAAACTGCAATCAACAAGCTAAGAGCCTGCCTGGGCATAGAAAAAGAATCTAATAAGGGGTTAGAGCACCGCAGACCAAAAATTGTCATTGGACTAAGAGACGTGTGGACAGCACGTGAAGAGTGCATGAGGGGCGGGTGTACAGATCACAACGGTGTAGTGTGCCCAGGGATTTCTTTGTTCAGGGTCCCTCTCTTTGGAGGCACCCAACCCCAGCCGCCCTCACTGTTGTACTTTTCAATTAAATTAATTATTTTATAAAATCCAGCGCCTGAGACTCTGCTGCAGGAAACCTAGGGTTGAGCCTGAAGAAAGAGGGGAGTGCACCTGAGAGCGTGTGTGTGGCACCATGGATGGTGTGTGAGTGCTCAGGCAGCGGCTTCTTGAAGCAGGAGCTCTGCATGTCTGCTGCCCTAAGGAGGGGGCTTTGCATTGGGAAGGAAGGTTGGCAGGTGTCTGTCCCTCAGCAAAGAGGGTACCGCAGGTGTCACTATACCATGTCTCTGCAGGAAAGAGGGACTGGCTGCGGATTTTAATGATTGAAATTCCTCAACTTTCCCTGTGTGTCATCACATGGCGACCTGCTGCAGGGCTCAGACCACAAGGAGCTGGGGAGCATCTAGAAATGTAATGTGATGGTACTGTATCTATCAAGAATTACCCATTTTACCTCTGTTTTCATTGTTCATGATGCTATTATTGCTGAGTGAACTCTGCTGGTGGTCTAAATCTGTAATAGGCCAGCTGAGACAACAGGTGTTAGGGCTCTGGCTGGCCAACTGAGGGAAGTGATAATAAACCTCTGGCTGGCTGAGTGATGGTAGGGCTCTGGCTAGTAGGCTGGGGCAAGTGGTGTTAGGGCTGTGGCTGGCCTGCCGTGGCAAGTGATATTAGGGCTCTTGCTGGCTGGCTAGGGCAAGTGGTGTGGGAGTCAGGCTTGTCTGGCTAGGGTGTATCGCTCTGGCTGGTCAATCGGGGCAACTTTTGTAGGGCCTTGGCTGTCCTGCTGGGGCAAGTGATGAAAGGGCTCTGGTTGTCCGTCTGGGGGAAGTGATGATCAGACTGCGGCTGGCTGGCCAGCCAGATTGTAAAACACTTTATCTCGCCACCCAGCTTGAGCTTTCAGCAAATTGCTCAAGCCAGCCAGCCAGAAGTTTACACCACTTAGACCCTGAGCTGGCCGGCCAGAGCCCTACACTGCTTGCCATGGCTCATCATTGACGGCCCTACCCCATTTTCCCTCTCCAGCCAGGCAGAGCCCTATGCCACCGGCCCCGAGAGGCAAGCCAGAGCCCTGCCACTCTGGCAGTCGGGCAGCCAGAGCCCTGAACCGCTTCTCTCCCTGCCAGCCAAACCAGAGTTGCCCGAGGCAGGTGTAGATCTCTGGCTAGCTGGGCAGGGCTAACGGTTTAGGGATCTGGCTGGCTGTAGCAAGTGGTGTAGTGCTCTGGCGGTCAGTTGTGGCAAGGGGTGTAGCCCTCTGGCTTGCAGGCCCACACAAGGCCTTTAGAGCTTTGGCTGGAGCAAGTGTTAAAGGCATCTGGCTGGCCCCCAGGGAGAGCGGTGCAGGGCTCTGGCTGGTAGGCCAGGCCGAATGGTGTGGGACTCTTGGCTCGCTGGTCAGGGAAAGTGGTATAGGAATCTGGCCAGCTGGCAATAGCAAATGCTTTAGGTTTCTGGCTTGCTTGCCAGGGCAAGTGTTGTAGGGCTTTAGCTAGCCAGCTGGAACAAGTGGTGCAGGACTCTGGCTGGCCAGCCAGGGCAAGTAATGATAGGGCTCTGGCTGGGCGGCCGAGGCGAGTGGTGTAGGCTTCTGGTGTTTCTGCCACTGCAAGTGGTGTAGGGCTCTGTTGTGCTGTCAGGGGATTTGAAAGGGTTCTGGCTGGGTGACTGGGGTAAGGGTTCAGTTTCTGTCCGGCTGGCACGTGGGCAAGTGTCGCTCTGGCTGGGTGTCCTGCTGTCAAACACGACTCTAGCCATCCAGAGTCAGAGACTGTGGGCTGGCAGTTTTAGGGAGCACCCCTGGCTGGTGGCTAATGATCATGTCTCTGGCAGGCCATTTGACAGGAGATGCTGTTGCTAGCTCGCAGAGGAGAGTGTGGCTCTGGCTTTCTGTTTCCAAGAGCCTAGTTTTGGCTTGTAGGTGACCAGGGAGACACTGGCTTCTTGCTGGTCATGGGGAGCAAGGCTCTTGCTTGCTGGTCAGGTGTAGGTGGTCTGGCTCGCTGGCCTGGGTAGTGATTCTCTGTCTGTCTGGCTAGGGGGAAGTGCTTTTGCTGGCTTTTGTGATTAAAGGAGTGACTGCTGAACTTAGCGTGCCAGATAACAATCATGAGAAGGAACATTAGCAGGTTGCCTTTAGGAGAATAATAATAAACAATAACTTGTGTTTGGCAATCAAAAGGGAACATTTGGACTTCAAAAGGTCCTGTGCCAACCGTGGCAGAGGCAACACAATCCTGAATGTCTGAGAATACTCCAAAGGTCCTGAACATGATGAGGGCAAAAGTGTGTCTGTGTGCTATTGGATGGTTATGCTTAGCCTTTCGTTCGAG